AGATAAATAAATCTTTGTGCCCTGGTTCTGGTGGTGCCACGTGAAGAGTCAGCTGATAAACAGCTTGTCTGGGTAATATTGTTTGTCCAAAAAAGAAATAAAATGCCAAACTAAAGCCAGCAATGCACTGACCTGCACCAAGCCTGGGCTACAAGCTAAAAAGCAGCTTATTATAATTAAAGACACAGACTGTATCACCACGTTATCTCCATTCATGGGATTCATGTTGAATCAGTGTGCCTTCCAGCCATAAACTAAGCATGTTTGTGCTATTTTAAGACCCGGCCCCTCTTCCATCCAAGCTTTCTCTGGGCTCTCCTCCAACCCAAGAGAGAGGCCCACCTTCTGGTTATCTTACCTGACCACGAGCCCTCCACCCTTGGCCTGCTGGTTCCCAATCTGTTCAGTATCCGCCCATCCCAGCTGGGCCTGGACTCCCACTGGCACCACACGTATGCAGAACTCAAAAGGCCAGTCAAAAAAGGGGCTAAAGATAGTATCCCTGCTGGTACAGCCATTAATATTACTCTAACAGCAGGGACACTGCTTCACGGAAGTAAAGAGAGGAGGCTAGTATCTTTATAAATACAACAAATACGAACTTATTTGGACTTCAAATAAAACCAGACAATGTGGTCTTCTCGAAGAACTTCATGGTTATAAATTGAATTTAATAGAAATTTTACAAGTGAAATTTCAAGGTGCAAAATCGTTTAAATATTATTTTAGGTGTAACTTCATGTCTTTACTGCTTTGATCTTCTTGCTGGAGATTTTTGTTCATTTGTTTGTTTCTGTATTTGTGCTACTTTTACATAATGAATCAATTAATCTATAAACCTGCCTAATTAACTGGGGTTAGAAGACATCGAACACAAAATCTGCTCATTAAATGCTTCATTTACTGTTCATTAATAGATATTTTTAGAACATATTTTTCCCCTTTGTTTTTCTGCTCCGTCTCTCCTAAAGCTGATACGTCATTTTTCAAAATTCTTTCTATTTATTTTAAACTAAAAGTTTCTGCATTCACAAGACAGTTTCATTAATAAGTCCTTACAAGGAATACGCAACATGCAAGTCGTGCTCCACTTCTTCTCTCTATTTGTGTATGCGCATTAGCGAGCGCGTGTGTGTGTGTTTTATGTGGGAGTGATGTGTCAGAAGTGACGCTCTCATGGTCTCGGCAGTGCTTGCCTCTGTCCCGGCCCGTTTGTCCAGTCATGCAAAATAACAGCATTAGGAAAGTGTGAGATTTGTTGCATCACATAAAATTTTTCTCCTGCCTGCAGACTGCTCATTTACTCCACACGAGCAGAACACTTTATTTTCCTCCAGGCAGAAGTTTGTACCTCAAAATTACATTTAGTGCTCTATAAATATACTGTATGCACTTCATCACGTGCATTTTAATGAATGCACTACATACACTTTAAATGCGAGCTGGCTAGAAACAGGCTTTTTGTCATTAAAAAAAATACCACAGTACAAAGACGAGAACTAAAGTAAATATCAAAAACCTGTTTTCTGGGGGATAATTTTAAAACTGTACTACAAAAACTGTCTGGGTAAAATATCACGCTGTACACGACATCAGTATGTTGCACTTTCCTGGACATAATTTCACAACCTCA